ACATAGGAGGTGCTCAGTTAACGTGTTGTATGAATGAATGGAGTGACAGGTGGCAAAGGCAGGAGGGTCCAGGCCTCACAGGTGTGAGAGGCTTTCTGCAAGAGAGTTGGGTGGGAAGAAGCGGCCAGCTCGGGCCCGGAGGCTGAGAGCCCCTTGTTGGCTCCAGAGTGATCTGCTATGCTGAGGACATGCTGGAGAAGGACCTCAGGGACAATCGGAGAATTGGGGACCTGGGAGCTCACCACCTCCTGGAGCGGGCAGCCCCTGGGGGCAGCAAGGTGACTGTGCTGACTCACTGTAACACCGGTGCACTGGCCACTGCTGGCTATGGCACAGCCCTGGGTAAGTGAGGGGGTGTCCATGGGGATGGGAGAGGGCCTCTTTTGGAATGAAGAGAAAGAAACCCAAACCACTTTTCCCACCTGCAAAATGATAATCGATTAGGTCTTATATAGAAATGCTTAGGATATTGGCTTCAAGTGTGACTGGATCCAGGGGTTCAGACAGTAGCATTAGGACCCATCTATTCCTGTCCGTAAGCTCTGCCCCCCACCCCTGCTCCCACTCCATGGGTCAGCAGAGGGCCTGCCAATGTTCACATCAGGAGGAAAAGGGCCAAGGGTCCCTATGCCAACAGTGCCAGGAAGATCTTGTAGCCCAGGGCTCTAATGGGGTCACCTGTTCGTCCAAGATCAACCACTTGATGCACCTGGCCAGAGTGGGCAGGATGTGGATTTCAAGAGAACTGAGAAGAAGGGTGTGGCCTTCAGGAAAGACTAGGGTAGCTGTCACCAGAAGAGGGGAAATTGGGTCCCAGTGTTCAAGGCAGCAGATTCCCTATATTCTCCAGATTTCCCTACCTGCCTGGGGCCCACTCTGGAGCCTGGGTACTGAGGCCCTGATGGCAAGACATCATTCATTCGTTTAACAAATATTTGCACCTACTGTGTGCCTTGCCACTCATGCATGCATGCATTCCTTCATTCAGCATTTATGAAGCAACTAATGTGTGCCCCACCGTTCATGCATGCATGCTTTCATTCACTCAACATTAAGCATCTGCTGTGTGCCCCGCCATTCATGCACACATGCACTCCTCCATTCACTCAATGGACATTTACTAAGCACCTACAATTTGTCAGGCACAGTTCTGGGAAGACAGAACTGTGTCTTCCAAGGCTCCCAAGGGAGCCAGCAGTTAACAAAGAAAACAAAATCTCAGCCATCGGGACAGAAAAGTGGGAGGAACAGGCAAAAGTCAATAAACATATATGATGTGTGCAAAGGTGGTACGTGCTGAAGAGGAAAATCAGGGAAAGAGGTCAGAGGTGTGGGGGTTGCTGTGTGAGGTGGAGGGATCAGAGAAGGACCCACCGAGAATGTTCTCTAAGCTCACAGGTACTAAACAAAGGGAATATCCACCACAAGGGCCTGGGGATGGGTAGCCTTTGGAGATCTGTGCCCCCAAATAATGGGCCACCCTGCCCATCTGTCCCTTTCTGTCTCATCCTGACCTTCTGGTGGGTCTTACCCTGCAGGTGTGATCCGCTCACTGCACAACCTTGGCCGCCTGAAACATGTCTTTTGCACAGAGACCCGGCCCTACAACCAGGGGGCCCGGCTGACAGCCTTTGAGCTGGTCTATGAGCAGATTCCTGCCACCCTCATCGCTGACAGCATGGCAGCTGCTGCCATGGCCCACCGAGATGTGTCAGGTCAGCAGGTGGGGCGCCAGCAGGCGGGGCTCCAGGCGTCCAGGGCTAGGTGATAACCCTTAACTTCTTGCTTTCAGCTGTCGTCGTGGGAGCTGACCGTGTGGTTGCCAATGGTGACACAGCCAACAAGGTGGGCACCTATCAACTGGCCATTGCTGCCAAGCACCATGGCATTCCCTTCTATGTAGCTGCCCCCAGCTCGTCATGTGACCTCCGTCTGGAGACAGGCCAGCAGATCGTCATTGAGGAGCGCCCAGGCCAGGAGCTGACTGATATCAACGGGGTCAGGATTGCAGCACCAGGTAAGCCATCACTTGGGAGAGCACCTCATTATGTACCCCAAACCCTCACAGGAGGCAGGTGGCACTTGGAGTGTCACTAGCCTTCTAGGGCACAGGCATTTTCAATTCAAGCCAATTTTTTAGAACAGAAACATCTTGGAGGTCAAGTTCCACATGACATTGTCCAACTCATGACTTGAGAAACCTTGAGTAAACTGTCTGGCCATTCTTCACTTTAATTTTCTCATCTAAAGAACAAATAATACTGTTCAGCCAAGTGCCTGTGAGGAGACAGATATTTCTCAGCTTCCCCATGCTTCCTCGCTGTGCAGCTGTGGGCAGTTTGCCTAAGTTTTTATCCCTAAGAGCCTCGGTGTCTCTATCTGTAAAGTGAGTTGACCTAACTCATAAATCCTAGGGCCTTCAGTGAATTAACTCACGTGACATGGAGAATAGGCCCAACCCTTCATTAGTACTCATTAAATATTAATAATTATGATTGAAACCCTTTCATAAAAAGGACCAGTTAAAACCCCTAAACATTCAAAATATGGGGACACCACTAAATATGGAGTTGGGATAAAAATAACACTATACAGTTAAGCAGAGGGAAGTCCTAATATTCTATTATTCTGCTGCAATTCATTATAGCATTTTAAAAACAGGTACATACATTAATTGTGAATTTTTTTATCTTCTTTTTTAATGCACCTACTTTCCTAGAGGTGTAAGTAGCAGTGGTCATAATCCATAAGACCATGGAAAGCAGAGTTGACAACCCACACCCACTGAAATAAAACTGGGGCAGCAAGACATGAGCAACATGGGCCAGGTGTCGTCTGTGGGCCCTGATACTCTGCTCTCATTGGTGGGCATGGGAATGCAGACCCCAGAGAAATGGGTCTTCTCATGTTTCCAAGAGAAGCCTTACATTTTTTTGTAAATGAAAACTCCCACCTTTTGAAAGCTGGTCTTAAAAAAACTGAGCCAGAGAGAAAAGTTCCAGGCCACCAGTTTGCGGCCTCTTGTGTAATAAGTTGTGATCTACATTGAGTAATTCATCCAGCATATGTTTCTGAGTTCCTGGCTAATGCTAAGTGCTGGCATATAGGAGTGAAAAAAAGACACAAAGTCCTGGCCCTTGGAGAGCTGGCAGTTTGGTGAGGGAGACAGACAATGAACAAGATAAATAACAGACTTATAGGAGGTAACGACTGAGGAGAAATAAACAAAGCAAGGAAGTGTCTGTACAGGAGCTTTAGACAGGATTATCACAGATGTCCTCACTGACAAGGTGACATCTGAGCAAAGACCTGAAGGGAATGAAACACTGGGTCATCTAGGAAGAGGGCAGAACCCACACAAAGGCCCTAAAGTAGATTCTTGGAGGTTCTTAAAGAGGTCCGGGCAAAAATGGGGTGGTTGTATGTAAGACTGAAACCTTGTTCTTGGACAGTGACAGTTCAGAAATGGTGTTTCAGAGGGTGAATATAAACTTGTGACTGGATGCCAAAGCTCATGCCTTCATGCGCTTTTGGGATGAGTATCCCTAGATTTTCAAAGGTTCCCTAACTCCAAGAACCACCATGGGGCGAACAGGTGACAAGAGTGTGAGCAGTGAGCACTTCACAGAGCTAAATACCTGCCTTCTTGTCTCCCTACTCTGTCCTGTAGGAATTGAGGTTTGGAATCCTGCCTTCGATGTCACCCCCCATGACCTCATCACTGGTGGCATCATTACAGAGCTGGGCGTCTTTGCCCCCAGAGAACTCCAGACAGCCCTAAGCACCACCATCTCCTGAGGGCGGAGACCCTAGATGAACCCCAGAAGTAACCAACCTGCATCTGCAAAGCCATAAAACTTACTGATGGCCTGCCCCAAAGCTGACCTTCTTCCCCAAAACCACACTTTTTCCTAGGGCAGGGATAGTGGACAGGGCCTTTGCTTGGTTCGTAAAAGCCTAGCCACTGGAGCTAGGCTACTCCAGTGCATTTCCTACTTCTGCCACTTTTTCTGCTGTGTGACCTTGGCCAAGTCACTTCACCTCTCTGTGGTTTGGTTTCCTCATTTATAACACGCGGACAATACTGGTACCGCCCTCACAGGTTGCTCTCAGGACTGGAATTACAGTGACGTCTCGGGTGCAGACTTTTAAAGGTGATACCAGAAAGCTCAGTAACCAAGTTAATAATAGTTTCATGAATATTATTAAAAATAAAAGTTAGTGCAAAAACAAATCCATGAACAAAATACCAAGAAAAAATGAGAGAATGGAACCCTACATTTGCACACTTTGACCTTACCTTAACCTCTGATGTGAGCATTCGTTCCCATTAAACTTCATTTACAATATCAGGCTGCCTGTCTACAGGCAGCAGTTTCACAACTTGACTTTTCTTTATTTTTCCTTTGTATTGAATTTACTGGGGTGACTAATTAACAAAATTATACAGGTTTCAGGTGCTCAGTTCCACAACTGAGTTCCATCACCTCTACATTGTGTGTTCACCACAAGTCAAGTCTTCCATCACCACTCATCCCCCCAAATCCACCTTATCGCCCCCACACTAAAATGTTATTTTTAAATGTTGAGCCCAAGCTGGTAGCTCTGTTAGTTGGTTCATGCACTGGGGTTGCGGGTTCCATCCCTGGTCAGGGCATATACAAGAATTGACCAATGGGTAAGTACATCAGTGGGTCGAACAAAAAAAATCGATGTTTCTCATCAATAAATGAAAAATTTAAAAGTAAATGTTGAAAACACTCTCAATTACGTAACTTTAAGCACCCTTAAATTTTGCACCAGTATATATAAAGAGCACTAAACAGCCTACGTTTTACAAAGCAAATGAACGCCCAGTAAATGTTAACTTACTATTAGCTTAAAATTTTTACCAAACGCTGTCTAAAACGGACCTCTTTGGCCCAGAACTCTTTAAAAACTGCCACTTCGTTTCCCCGTGAGCCCTTGCGCACCCAGCACCCACTGTATCCCAGCATGCCTGGTTTCCGGTTGCAATGCTCAGCCCCACCTTTTCCGGCGCATGCCCGATCATGGCGCAGGGGCAGCGTAAGTTCCAGGCGCAGAGGCCAGCCAAGAGTAAGGCGGTGGCGGCGGCCTCAGAGCGGAACCGGGGCCCGAGGAAAGGAGGTGAGGAGCGGTCCGGGGTCTGCTGGGCGAGGGGTACCCGGGGCTTCCAGGCCTCAGGCGAGCGCCTCTTTCCCCAGGTCGTGTTATCGCTCCCAAGAAGGCTCGCATTGTGCAGCAGCAGAAGCTCAAGAAGGTGAGTGGGGCATGCAAGGTGCGAGGGATGGAGCTTGGAGGCAAGCGCGGAGGATCAGAAATGGAATCTGGCTCCAGTGAGGAGCGTGGGGCTTGCGGCGTGGGCAGGGGGGCGGTCAGGAACCGGCGGAGGTTGGAGCCTGGAGGCGCCGGAGGCAAGGGATAGAGCCTAGCGGTCAGTGGAGGGGTCCAAGGGTGAAGTCTGGAACCAGGGAGGGCAGGGTACAGGAACATCACCTACTATTCAGCAGGCGTCGTAGAAGCAAGACCTGGCTCGCAAAAAGTTGTACACACCTTAGCTGCTTTGGTTATTACTGTTCTTTGCAGTAGAACACGGGAGGGGAGGTGGCATAGGAAAGAAGCTGAAACCTCAGCTTTGTACGAAGCCAGTGCTGGATGAAAATCGCAGCTCCATGGATGACTAGTGTTTGTTCACCCTGAGCCTCAAACCTGTGAAATAGTGATAGCACCTTTCTCTTAGCGTTGTCAGGATTCGATGTCATAAGGCACCTACAAAGTGCTAGGAACAGCACAGGGCACAAATAAACGTCAGTTTTGATAGTTATTGTCATTTTTGTGATTGTCTTAAATCCAGTTTTTTATATAGATGGGTAGGGTTGAGCTTATAAGTTACAGAAAATTAAAAGTGATTGAACATTCGGAGTGATCCTGGATCTCCCTCGCCCCTACCCCCTTCTCACATCCAGGTCAGATTCTATCCTTTTTTGCCCTTGAAATTAATCTAGAATCCACCTATTTCCCACCTCCCCGATCCCCTTCCTCTGGTCCACCCATTATCTTCCTCCTGGACTGGTGTAGTTGCCCCTCCCTGGTCTGTCTATCCCCCTCCCCCATAGTAGCCAGAGGGCATCAGTAAGCACTTAAAATCAATCGTGTGCCTTCTCTGCTCTGAACCTTCTTTGGCTCCCAGGGCACTCAGGAAGAATTAAACCCTGCACACTCTGCCTCTGTCCCCTCCCTGCCCTTGTCGCCTCCTGCTCTCCCCCCTGCTCTCTCCACCCTCACTGGCCCCTTAATTGCGCCTGGTTCCACATCAACTTTGCACTGGCTGTTCCTTGCTCCAGTTAGAGATCCACATGGCTCCCTTCCTCTGAGTTATCTGACTGCAAGTGTTGCTTCTGAGTAGCTTGTTCCTTATGACAGCCCAAAGCCCCGCCCCTCGTGGTCATTGGAGGTCTTAAAGGCAGGGCAATAGCGTGGTTTGGGGAATATGATTAAACTGCCATTTTTGGACCCAAACACACTTGGCTTCTAATCCCTGCGCCTTGAGTTCCTCATATCCCTGTACCAGAGCCCCAGTTCACCATGTACAAAGAAGAGGTGACATGGGACAGGAGGGACTGCCCACCTGGAGGTTGAGACCAGAGGCGCTGGGCATGCCAGGATCCAGTCTCCCCTCACATGGTTTCCTCACTGCAGGAGTCTGTTTCCCCATCTGTGAAATGGGGGTGAGCAGAAGTTTAGAAGCTGAGGTCCAGAAATAAGGGATTTTTGTGAATAACATCCCAGAGTGTGGGACAAAAGCAGGACTTAAGCCACAGCCACCAGACTCTCAGGTACTATTTCAGGGGGACCTAATGATCCAGCCCCAGGTCAGGCACTCCCTTACTTCCTCCGCCCAGTTTGATTGCCCCTCTGTTGCCCCCTCAGGGCCTGGAGATTGGGATCCGGAAGAAGATTGAACACGATGTGGTGATGAAAGCCAGCACCAGCCTGCCCAAGAAGCTGGCACTGCTGAAGGCCCCCGCCAAGAAGAAGTAGGCAGCCTCTTCCTCCACCACTGAGATAAGACATTTTCCTAAGGACACAGCACCTGCCTCCATGCCCACACCTCTGCAGCTGGCTCCATGGGCAGTGCTGTGCACTGAAGGAGCCTCGCCCCACAGAGCCTTGGCTTGCTGCTCGAACTTTGGGTAGGGATGGCCTGGCCTGGGGGCAGCTGATCAGAACATCTGTAGTGCACGAGTCAGCTTCCCAGGATGCCGAGAACTCAGCAGTGGCCCTGAGGACATGTTCACCAACTTTCTGTGTTCCCCTGTCCCTTCAAATCCTGTGTCCACTGGTTTAACCTAGAGCAATAAACCTGGCTTTGTCATTCCTGTTGCAGTCATATTTCCTGTGAACACACCTGTGCTGGGACTGTAGGTGAGGTACACCGACCCAGTCAGCTCCAGCAATTTCTACAGACCAGCCATGTGCTCAGGGAAGGGTGATTAGGCTTCTGCATGTCCATACTGGGAGCTGGTGGAGAGTCTTTACCTCCCTCCAAGTTCAAGTGGCTCACAACAACCTCCTTACTCACTTACACACTGTCCCCAGACATGCCCAGTTCACTCGCTTTGCCCAGCACAAGCCAGGAGACGTAGGGAGCCATCTGTAGAATGGGTGTTGACACCATCGTGGTACCAATTCAACCAGAATGTACTTACGAACTGCTTGAAGGCACCTTGATCTATAAAAAAGTCAAAATGTCTATTAGGCCTATGGCCCAGGCATTTTTCTAGGGCTTTCTGTACATCACTCCATCCCAGGTTGGGTCATGTTAACATTCTAGAGCCAGTACTTGAACCCACCACTGGCTGAGTCCCAGTGTGGACTCTCAGCTGACCATCTGCTGCCTCTGTTTCCACAGCAAGATTCTCACCTGTTCCATCCTGGGTGCCCCCTGCCCCAAAGCTTCACTTGAATCTGTTCAACTGGAAGTGCCTGTGGAGTCATCCAGGAGCTCTGGCTCGGTGACTGCCCTTCCCTCTATTGGAAGTGAGAGAGGCCACTGCTCGGTGACCAGGCTGGGCCCAGGGAGACTTGAAAATGGAAAGTCTCCTACAAATGCTGGCGCTGCTCCCACAGCTGCTGGTTTTTGAGATGTAGATTGTAATTTTTGTGTGTATGAAATTGCTGTCCCTGCTTTTGTCTATGTATGTGAGTGTGGTTAAAACTATATGCCCTGGCTGGTGTGGCCCAGTGGGTTGAGTGCCAGCCTGTGAACCAAAAGGTTGCCAGTTTGATTTCCAGTCAGGGCACATGCCTGGGTTACACAGGCCAGGTCCCCAGTTGGGAGCATATGAGAGGCAACCAGTGGATCTATCTGTCACACACTGATGTTTTTCTCCCTCTCTCCCTCTCTCTAAAAATAAATAAAAGTCTTTCAAAAAGTAACTCACCTATAAAATTGACATTTAAAAATACGACAATTCAAAAAAGGACCTACAGACAACAGTGTGGTATTGCAAGTGGGAGAGGAGTATGAAGGGACTAAATGGTAATGGATAAAATACAATAAAGGTTAATTTTTTAAATAAATAGAGATAATACACTTCAGTGGCATTTAGTACATTCACAGTATTTTTGCTACCACCTGAAACTTTTACCACCCAAAAGATGGCCTGTCCCCAGGAGCTGCCACTCCCCATTCTCCCTCCACACAGTCCCTTGGCAACCACTGATCTGTTTTCTGTCTCTCTAGCAGTTTATTGAGTGAAGGAAGGAATTGTTTTGCAAATAAAATTTTGTGTCTCAGTGACTCAGTTACCATCACACACCCTCTCGGCCGTCTGATTCATAGCATCAGTATTTCCTTGGGATGACTTTACAGCTCTGAGAATTGCAAGCAGCTGATAGCAAAACCAAACCCCTTTTATCTCTAGACTTGCAGATTCCGCCTGTTCCAACAGAGGTCCCATTGACGAGCTTCCTCCCCGGTGGTAAAATCAATTTGCCTCCATATGTGTAACATACGGCATCTGCCTATCTATCCCACAGGAGTTCAAGAAAAACTCTGACTCTTGTTCATGTTTTATATGTCTGAGAGATTTTTCACACCCTTGAAAATGATCTTTTAACTCACCTCTCTGGAATCTTCGAAGGGCAATGGCTGGAACGGCATGAGCTCTGGGTATCTTCTGGCTCCTCTGCCACAGTGAGGTTCCTCGAGCCCCAAGCTCCAGCCCATCCTACTGGCAGTCTCTCGCAGGCCAAGGATTCTGGTTCTTTTGCCCCTCTGAAGCCTACCCCTTTGAGGAGGGACCCAGAGGCAAGGAAAGTCATTCAGGTGTGATAGGTATGGGGTCTGGAATGTCAACCCACTCGTTCCCCCATTATCTCACCCCCTTGGGCTCTCCAAACAGCCACATTTTCCCCTAAGGTGATTCAATCCTTTCACCTGCATACCAACCCCCTATTAATGCTGGAGCCAAGAGCCCCAGACTTTGAAAAAACCCACACCTTTCATTCTATGCCCGTTTTTGCCACTTCCTTGTCTGTGACCTTCAAGTCCCTTCACCTCTCTAAGCTTGAGTTTTCCCACCTGTTAAATGGGATCCTAACACCCCTCCCTCAGAAAGGAGAATTCTCAGGAGCCTCTAGGCCATGGGACTTGCAGGTGTGATTATGAGCTGCCCTTGTGTCCTGTGGGACAGAAGGTAGCCCAAGTTCCACCTCTAGGCCTGTCTCTGGACCTCTCCCCCAGGGACAAGTGCAGCCATTACATGTGGCTTTTCCGAAACAATTACACCTCCCCAAGCCTTGTCCTCTCCTACCTCTAACGTCCCCCTCTGCCTGAATGCCCATTTTTCCTGGCAGGGACCTGACGCTTTGCCCATAAACTTGTATTCCAAAAGAAACAAAACAAGAACGTAAGAAGCAATCCTTGCCAGCTGGGTAGGCCAGAGGGGCTGTGGAGACCAGGAAGTGAAACTGCCCCTGCTGGTTTCCCGCCTGAGTCACCAGGGATGGGGTTGCTGCAGAGGACTAGCAGAGGGAGGGGTCCTCAGAAAATCAGAGTTGGGGTGGCCACAGTTGGGGGGCCATGCTCCCCCTCCGTCTGAGCCTCCAGGGTTGCCCCATTTCCCTTGGGTCTCAGGACAAGCAGGTTTGGAGTCAGGAGCTGTGGATGCCTAGACAGTGAGCTCACGGCTGGCTGGCCGGTGGGATAAAAGTGGCTTCATTTTCTCTGAAGCCCCAGCTTGCTGGCTGCATTGGGAGAAGGGGCTATGAGGGTACTTGGAAACCCCACTCCCCACTTCTTTCCTAAAAGAGTTTCTAGGACGAGGGCAGACTTGAAATAGGCCTAGTGACTTCCTAGGAGCATTGCCATCTTCCCAAGGGCCTTGGACTTCACACATTCTCCTGGGATCACTGTGTGGCTTTGAACTTTTTTTTTTAATTGATTAATTTGAAGGAGAGAGACTGATATATTGCTCCACTTATTTATCCACTCATTTCTTGATTCTTGTATGTGCCCTGGCTGGGGAAGCAAACCCACAACCTTGGCTTATCAGGACGATGCTCTAACCAACTGAACTACCCGGCCAGGGTGAACAACTTTCTGACCCTCTCTGGGCCTCATTCCCCTTTGTAAAATCAGGGGATCAGAACAGAAAATTGGTGTATGCCACACTGTGCACTTGAACCCCAGCCAAGGTAACAGGACCAGCCCGCCCACCCGAGCTTGAATCCAAGCCCTACCCTTTCCTGCCGTGGACCTTGGGCAAGTCACCTGGCCTCTCTGTGTCTCAATTTTCTCATCTGGGAGATGGGGATGATGACAGTATTATCTGTTGTGAGAAAATAAAATAAAACATCTTTACCCTGTGGTAACAGATTCTCAGTTCCTTCTAAACATCCTCCCTTCCACTAGCAAGGAGTGACTTCTCTGATCCAGCATCTTGGGGCACTCACTGAAACATCCTCAGGGACAGGGCTTAATTGACACAGTTGCATACCAGATGCTGAATGGGCAGCCAGGAAAAGCTGGACCTTGGGTCCTATTTGCAAGGGGAGCACCTAAAACACATAATTCATGGAATTCCTCCCTGCCTCTCCCCCACCTCAGCTATTCCTTCCCCATAGGTCTCTCTCTCTCTCAAACCCTTTTCGAGAAAGGGGTGCTCCAGTAAGCCTAGGGCTTCCCAGTCTGGGTGAGCTGAGGCAAGGACATCCCTTTTCCAAGCCTCAGTTTCTTCATCTGAGAAATGGAGGCCACCATCCCCAATTTGCAGCTCTGTTGGAAGGCTTAAACCCAATGCTATATCCGAACAGCTAGAGCAGCCCGCTATTATTATTGTTTCTGTTGTTGTCACTGTGGCAGGCTCTGGTCTCTCAACACCACGGCTTTCTAATAGAAATTACAATGAAAGTTGCATGTGTAACTTTAAATGTCCTGATACACATAGAATGGAACAGAACAGCACTGAATGGAATGGAATAATACAATATGAGGCCAGTGGAGTTAATTTTAATAATGTATTTCACTTAACCTGCATTTATCTAAAATATTATTTCTACATCTCATCAATATAAAAATAATTCTTAACGAGAAACTTTATGTGGTTTTTCCTGCTAAGTCTTCAAAACACACTCTGTGTTTTACAGCATGGCCAATTCCTGCCAGCCCCACTGCAAGGATTCAAACGCCACTTATAGTCAGTGGTGACCTCGTGGGACAATGCAGGTGAGAGGGAGTTTACTGAATTGTGGGTTGGGGACTGTTCAGGAAGTGCCACTGTGAAACTGGAAATTCCTGGAAGGTAAAAGCCAGTGTTTCCATATGAAGAGGGGCAGAAATTCGACCACGTACGGGGCAGTTTGGGTTTTTCCTGTTCTGTGGATCATTTCAGCAGAACGAGAGCAAAGCATGAGTGGTCCCCTCCAGGAGTTATACATTGACTGCTGTATGTGATACAGTGGTGCACCAATTACCTCTTGGGGCTCACGGTAGAGGAGAGAAAGACATTAAACAATTGCTGAAATAAAGAAATGTAATGAGGCCCTGGCAGTTGTAGCTCGGTGGATTGAGCGCGGGCCTGCCAACCAGACAATCGGGGTTTGATTCCCAGTCAGGGCACATACCTGGGTTGCAGGCCGGTTCCCTGCAGGCCAATTCCCAGCAGGGGATCCACGAAAGCCAACCATACATTGATGTTTCTCTCCCTCTCTCCTTCCCTTCCTCTCTAAAGATAAATAAATAAAATCTTTTAAAAAAATGTAATGATAATAGAGAGAGGTGTGGCGAAGGGAAAACAGCATTTCTAAGGACAAGGGGCCCAAGATTAGATAAAGACCATGGCCTATCTTCAGGCCAAAGATGTAGCCTGGAAAA